CCCAATCAAAGAAACAAAAAACTTTCAAAAAAAAAAAAAAAAAAAAAAAAAAAAAGATAGTGTCTGGAAAACAACCTGTCAACAGAAATGGGAGACAAAAGCCTTTCAAGGAGGGGGATATTTTTTTTTCCTTCATTCTTTTTAAACACTTCATTCTAATTAATCCCAGAAATTTATAAAAAGCAGCTTGCCCCACAAGGGAAACATTTTCCTCCATCTAACTAGTAATTGCAATATGCTTAGCACCCCCTACCTACTTATATAGGAAAGGATTCAGAGGCCACAGCCTACCAGAAACTTTTTGCAGTCTTCAGGACTGTAAGACACAGTAAATTATGTTCCCTAGTTTGAAAAGAAATATTGAAACAAACAAGACGATTTTATTTAATGGAAAACATCCACAGTGCAAGGACACAATAACTTTTTAAGGAAGATCTCAATAAAGCTACGTGCAACTATCTATTTCGCAGACTGCCCTGGGAACAACCTTCCTTGGAAGACCCAAGTTTCTTGTGACTACTGGCAGTCTGCGCAGGCATGCAATCCGAGCGTTAACCGTCCCTCCCCAGTGGAAGAAAACACCTCGTAACCCAGATGTTTCTTACTTTAAAAGAACGGCATAATAAATATTAAAACCTAAAGGTTAACCCTTGCCTCCCTAAAGAGGAGAGAGAGGAGAGCACAGGAGCAAAAAGGGAGAGCGAGGAAGAACTAGAGCCAGGTACCTACCCAAAACAAACCCAAGAGCAATTAACGGCAACCCAACCGCCTCAGACCTACAAGGTGAGGAACTGCAACAACCATTTATCCACGGAGTGCGGCGAGGAGCGCTGCGGGGAGACATGGCTCTGGGACACCTTAAATTTCCAGCCGCTGCCTTTAAAAGCAAGCCAGGGCCTTCACTGTTGCTCTTTGTGCAGCCGGAGAGGAGGAGGAGGCGGGGGGGAGGAAGAGCAGCCCGGCTCGCTGCGTGCAGAGGAGCCGCGCACGCAGCAAGACCCCGGAGGGGGCAAACCCCGCGGGGGGCGGCTCGGCCGGGGGTAAGCGACCCCCCC